AATTGTTCGGGACGAACAATACTAAGGAGGGGCAGTGTTGCGTCATCGAGGTCACGTGACTGGTGTGGCGCCACCTATTTTCTAGAACTATCCTGTACCTTGGCGAATGCTCAGTATTTACTAGATATAGGGTAGACTGGTATATAAAAGAGGGTGACAACGTGACGGAATAATGTAATAATGCGTGTGTGTAGATAGGGAGTAATTGAACTGTAGTCACAGGGTATTGTTGAAGTTAACGTTCGTTCGTTATAGTGTTTGTTTTAGCGCGAATATTGAAATTAAGTGTATCGTAAAGTTGTATTCGGAAAGAATAAACCAGTTTTATTAAGTAAGGACTTGTGTCGCTAAAGTTTCGTCGGAAACGAAGTTACGGAAAGTTAATTAACAAACGGAGACGTAACAACTGCTTTTCTCTAGTTTATTACTACTAAATTACGGACGGCTTGTGCTGATAGCCCACGAGTACCTTTTTGCGAAATTGTACAAAACAAATGAATTCTAAAACAATGTTGTATTATTAGATTTATTTGTAGCCCTCCTTTCAGTGGCAAGTCTATGGACTTATAATTATAGAACAGCACAAATAACCCATTGTATAGCTTTGCGCTTAACTACAAACAAACAAAGATTTATTTGTAAACATCTCACTGATGTCGATCTCAAAGCTCTGGCGATGGTGTTTTTGATTGGTTGTTGTTACCCTACGATTTCGTCATCGGGTTGGCGCCGCCTCAGTGAAGTAAGTGTTCAAGCTACCGAAAACAAAAGTAAAGTGAGGGGTTTGTTTATTAGTAAAGTGTGGCGTTTGAGTGGAGGAAAGAACTCTGCAAGACGTAGAATGTAGACGATAGGTCGTATATATACAAACAAATAAAATGATTTACATATGCAGGAAGACACTGCTGAGATACATTTTATTTACAGGGCAGCGTAAACAGTTAATTTTTAAGTGTTAATAGAATTTGAAAAATGTCCAAACTGTTTTGTGAATTGAAGACACTTACACAGCTCGTGGCTGTTCTGGTACTCGTAAATGCAAAGACCATATTTTTGCTAAGCCTGACCTTAACTGCATTACAGGCTGGAACTGTTGCAGGATTTCTTCTACAACCTTCAACGACTATGGTTGAATTTGAAACAAACTCAGGTGGGCCTGGTCTGTGTAATTTATGGTATATCATTAACTTTAAGACTATCAAGACAATAGGTTGTACCAGTATCAGTGTGTCGTAGTATTAATATAAGTTGTAAGTTTTGAATGTGCTTGTTCCTTTTTTTAAAATTAATTAAAGAGTTGACACATACACTTAAAACTGTTGTTGATATCTTTGTCAATAAAACATTTAATCTTGAAAAATACAGAGGAATTATTGAAATATTCATTACACTCCACAATTACAGGAATAATGTTAAACATGATCTTATCAGAGTTGTTTATGTTGAACCTATGATACGAATATATATCACCAAAATATGACAATTTAAGGTATCTATCCTCTTTCATAGCTACTTATTTGTCACAAGAAGAATTTAAACAGAATAATTTGTTTAATATTAAAGTTCAAATAATCAAATGAATATGTTATAAATATATGAGCACTAGAATTAACACCCAGTGGTGTAAAGATGTTTTTCAAAACTTAATGGCACTGTGGTAAAATTAAAGAGAAAATATGGTTATAGGATCTGTTTATGCATATTTTGAATTTTAGAGTGAGAAGGTTATTAAGAGTACTATGCATAAGACTGCATTTTTAATCTTTGGGCTTTACTGCAGGTAATCAATATGTTAAAAGATGTTCATTGAAAGGCTATAAATTTCCTGTGAAAAAGGCTTAAAGATTTATATATGTTTTCTTTGGAGCTTAAAAGAACTAGAAATGACTTGGTTAAGTGTTTGAAAGTGTTCATGACATAAATAGTCCATCTATGATTAATGGGATAAAAAAATGTATAATAGATCACAGAACTTTTATTAATATTAGTTGTTTTCACCACAGCTAATATTAAGAAAAGAGTTTCAGTGTTTCTGTTACATAGGAGCTTAATCTTTTCCAAATTTACACACTACAAATGAAGTATTTTACACTTCACAATATTGAAAGTTATTTTTTCACATTTTGGCTTAGTCAGTAAGACAAAGATCATTCTAATTTTAAAAAACTTAAATCTTACCAACTTTTTTCAAGAGTCTTAACATCATAAGATAATTTGGAATAATTTCTGCCGACAAAGCTATTCTCATGATTGACAAAAATAGTTAACAACGAAATTTCCAAAACACACCCAGACATAACTCCAAAATACCTCCTTCTAGTAGGAAAAATACTTGTTTGTTACCCCCATTTAATCTGTATTATCAAGCCAATTTTCTTTTTCTTTCTCTCATAACTTTGTCACAAATTATGTAATATTCTAAGTAATCTCTTATTTAGAACCTAACCAAAGGCTTCATGAATGCCAATACACAACATAAGAAAGGCAATGTGACAGGAGAATATTGAGATCATCCTCTAACCAAAAAAGTAATATTCAGTTTTTTAAGACCAACTATGGGAGATATTAGGTTGGCAGTTGTGTACGGTATGTAATGTAGTAATGTAGATATTCATATATATATATATATATATATATAAAGATAGAACAGATAGAGCAACAGGACCAGACATTGTTTATTGCCAGGGTTTTTAAAGGAGGTCAAATAGTAGATCGATGGGTCTCTCTCTTTAACTTTTGGTATATCAGTTGCCTGAAAATATTGAAGAATTGCTAATGTTACGTAATTTTTAAAAGGGATTATAATTATGGAAAGTTGTCTAAAGTACCAGAATTTCCAGTGAAATGTGCCTATTTTGAAACACGTTTTTTTAAATTCCTAAATCACCCAAAAATGCACATGTATGCACTGCAAATGTTAGAAAAGAACATTAAAACAATAAACACAACATTTTAGAGGAAAAATAATGTAGTTTTGCTATCTTTTTTCTTCTAACATCTGAAATGCTTGACTGTGTGGTACTTCATAAAGAAGTCTGTAAGACACATGGCCAGGCATTACCCCTCCCATTCTTACAATTCATACATCCATGTCTGGTTTGCTTCCTCTTTGGATGTGAAGGACTTTCACTGCACACTACACAGTTAGACTTGTATTTAGGATCTGGATAAACCATTGGAAAGTGATGCCCTGTCAGTCACTTCTCTGTATCCTCTGGGTTATCTGTCGACCTCCTCCCTTTCCTCCATTCTTGAATTAGGATTGGCAGTTGTGTACAGTATGTAGGAGTAGATTAGTGCTACCTCTCTGATGAAGTGATAAATTGCATAGTACCACTTTTTGCATTTGTGTTGATATGGGTTGCTGGTACATTTCTGGTCAAACAAGTTAACTCCTCCCATTGAAGCATTGTAATTGCAGGCCACATTTGGTTTTTTCACATCCCTAAATTCAATCTCTAGCTGCTTGGATCAAAATTGTTTCCAAGTGTAGCCATTATTATCGATTGTCAAGAGGAAGTTGACCCTTGCAGTGTCATGCCAGGAGCAGACAAGAATATCACCCTTTTTGTAATAAACAGGATCATCAACTTTCTTCAGCTGTAACCTTGCTGGTCTAATATCTTCTGGAAGTCCCCTTCTATTCAATCTCACAGTCCCACAGGCACCAGTACTCTGTTTCTTGAGGGCTTCAAAGAGGCCAGGGTTGGAATAGAAGTTATCAACATATAAATGGTGGCCGAGGTTCAAGTATCCATTATTGCCCATCAGTTTCATAACAACATTATGACCCAAGCCTTGCTCTGGTGCCACAGGGTAGTTGTCTCTACCAATATAAACATCCCAGTCTAACAGATAACCCGACTTGCCCTCACACAATGACCACAGTTTTATACCTCATCCTGTGGGTTTGTTTGGTATGTACTGACAAAAGTATATCCATCCCTTGAACTTCATCATCGATTCTTCAATTGTTCATGACATGGAATCTAATACTGCTTATACAGTGGCTTCACAATGTTCATGTGGGGAGAAATTTTATACAAAGGAACATATCCTTCCTCTCCATGTGGAACCCTTTGAGAATTTTCACAAAAATGAAGAAACGAACTGATCAGCTGGTAACGATTGTGTGGCAGTACATCTCGATAACCAGGGGACTGGGCTATACCCCCAGTTGCCCAGTAATCACTAATTCTTGGCTTGGAACACAATCCCATCATTATCTGCAAGCCAACATAGGCTTTGAATTCATCTGTAGTACACTCAACCCAATCATTGTACTGAGAATTATCAGGGAGGTCTGCCGGATTATCAAAGAACTCCTGGGTGTAGGTGTTAATCATCTCACAAATAAGCTCAAATGCTTCCTGAGGGAATAACAAGTAGAAATAATCTACTGGGTGGTTACAGTCAGGCAAAGGTGGAATCACAGGGCCAGGCCTTTTGGCATAAGATGGGCACCAAATTGGTCTATAATTGTCATAATCATCATCAATGACTCGCACATGATCAGTATCATCCACGCCTCCTTGGCTACCATCAATAACATCACTGTCCCCATGTGTTACATCATGTATATTATCATTACTTACAGCATTATCGGTATCTATGTCACTGTTTTCCCAATCGTCATCACTAAATTCACTCAATTCTGAGTCTGAATCTTGCATTATTTTACTCAATACATCCTCTGTGGCAAGCCATTGTTTTTTGTTTACATTTACTTGTTGACATGGTTCCGGTCAGTGCCCTCAAATTGGGTCAAAAGTCAAGAACTTCACAAAAATAACAACCACAATTGAAGAAACTTCACTAAATTATATTGTGGTTGCCTAAAAACTGTGTAGGTGTGGCATGGAGTAAATTACAGACCGGTAAATGGAACTATGTCAGGAATTCAACTTAAGTTGCATTCGGCACTCTACCTGGAATTCGACTAAAGTCACGTATGGCAGTGAAATAGTTAAACTACAGACCATTCAGTCTTACTTCTGCTGTAGCCATAAAAATTCCTGATGAAAGAAGCTGTACAAAATCATTTGAGGAAATATTATAAGGGAAATCTTGCCTTAATAATCTGTTTATTTTATTTCGAGGATGTTACTTGATGTATTTGGCATTTTAATAGGTTTTTGGTGAGGTGTCATTCAGAAGATTAGCTATGAATATCACATTGGTGTGAGGTGAAGAAAGAATAATTGATTGGTAGGATGATCAGGTGAAAAACAGCAGGAAAGTTAATATTCCAGTCAAACTGGCCAGTGTTTTTGTTACTAATGGTGTGTGATGCTGAATGACGGTGTGCCTTTAACAGTGGACAAGGCTATTGTCCATATTGATCTTATTCATTGTTTTTTTAAAGACCATATGCCTTTTTAAGTCTACTTATTGTTTTAACCTTTTTGATAATAAAAGAAAATCAATTTTATATTCTATTTTATACTTCTACTTTTTATGTTTGTTGTTTACATAAAAAATAATAATAATACATAAATAGATAAACTATTGTTTTGTTCAGATAACACTGGTGCTTTGTGCCATTAAATCCAAAACAATCAACTAATGGTGTGTATAGGAATTGGTGCTTAGGCCTTTTCTTTTTCTTGTTTACCTGGGATAGAAAGGTTAATATCTTGGAATGGTTTTCTCTTGAAAAAAGAAGAGTGGAGAGGGATCTAATTGAGATGGCTAAGATTGTTAAGGGATAGTGTCGATGCATTATTGTTGTTTTTTTTGCATGCTTTATGGTGAAAATGGTAAGACTAGGGGACACAAGTATAAATTGTGGCATGTTAAGAGTCATTTTCTGCTAAGACAACTTTATTTTTCTGTCATGGTGGTTGATCTTTGGAATGGGTTGCTTTCAGATGTGGTGTATGTAATTTAAATTTAAGAAAAGGCTTGATAAATATATGAATGATAAGGACCAGCTTTTAGCCTTGTTTTTTTTTTCAAGGTTTAGTTAAGTGGATGTGAGGGCCTCAGTGGACTCGCAGGTCTTTTGTTATCCTTAAATTTTATTTTGTGTTTGGTATGGATAGGGGGAAAATTATTAGCTTACTCAAGTTTATTGATGTCATTAAAATGTTTTGAGTTTATATTACAGAATGACTTGAACCAATTGATAAGTTAGAAAAATGCTTGGCAAATTACTTTTAATCATAGTAAATACAAAGTACTTTATTGGGCCGATTATAGGGCAATGTTTTTTATTAATAATTGAGTTGTAATATTCATAGTCACCTTATAATTGTGGCCGACCACAGACCCCTTCCCCCCTACACTAGCCTGTTGCATTCCTTAATGTCCAGATACCATCTGTCTATGCATGCTCATGCGAGGCAGATGTTTGCTTAAGGTCATCACTAATTCTTGCAACTAATCCACCTGCAGGCTGTTCAGTTATAGTATTGATTTTGCAGACCTAAAAAAAGGATGTTACGACTATCTTTTTTTTTCTTTCCCATGGTTTCTGAAAATGGGGGATCGCCTTATATTCAAGATCACCCTATAATTGGGCCAATGTGGTAATATGTTTGATTTATTATTTAATACAGAGAGGAAATTAATAGCATAAGTCTGACTGAAGAAAAGTATTATGGTATAGTGGTGGATAAGTCACACAAGCCATCAAAGCAGTGCTTTGTTACTAGTAGTAAAGCTAGTGTGATTTTTGGATGTACTTATAGACCTATTGATTGTAAGTCAAATGGGGTAACTAAAACTAATGATCTCTCTACTCAGATTATTGGTTAAGCCTCACTTGGAGTAAGGTTTACAGTTTTGGTCTTTTTCAACTAAGAAAAGATAGTGACTTACTGGGAAATAGTTCATAGGAGTGCTACGAGGATGATTCCAGGAAAGGAAGGGTTGCTTTATGCAGACAGATTAAGATCTCTTATTTCTTCTTGAGAAAAGAAGGTTAAGAAGTGATCTTATTGGTGATGGTCCATTAGTCCGAGGGTCATTTACTCCAAAGGCCCAATAGCCTGAAGATTGAAGTTTTTTGTTTGTTTTTAACAGTTAAAATTTGAAATTGATTGTTTGGTTATGAATTTTATGACAAAAACTCCCCAAGATACGACTTAAAGGTTGCAATTTCTCAGGAATGGTTGGATAATGTTTATCATCATTTCCCTGATGTTATTTTCTTGTATGCATGTATAGTGTTAGCTGCAGAACCTGTATACTTATGCATCAGGATAGGATTTGGAATCTATCTTTTCTGAGAGAATGGAAATTCAAGATTCTTACTCCATTGTGATATAACAATGAATATTCCTACCCATTAAACATGTTGAAAGCTTCATAAAATAATCTTGTCACTGAGCCAATGTAAGGAACTGTACACTACAACGTCAATTCAAATATTTCTGTTGTTTGTATTTAAAATGAGAGAAAGCTCTCTGGAGCATTTGGTCCCTAAAACTTCCACAAGATTTATCCTTTAAACTTTTAATTTGAGATTGTATTCTTCTACTATGGACCTACAAATTTATTTATTTATTTCAATTTTAACTTGTGAAAACCAAAAATCTGTGACTATTGGGTCTTCGGAATACTGGGTGGTCCCCTACAAAAAATATCCAAGTGATTGATTGTGTAGATGCCTCTACTGATTTTTTGTACTGTATCCTGAAGAAAACAGGTTGAAAAGATACAAGCTTAAGGTTTGGAGAAAACAAACTAGATAACAGTTCAAACAGTTATTTTCTAATAGGGTGATTAGCTTAAAAAATGAGTTGCCATTAGTAGTAATGAAGGCAACATATTATATGAGCTTAAGAGGGGAAGCAAGTTATTGCTGAAAAATAAAGAGTGGGTTTAAATTTTTCTTTTCTCTTCCTCTTGAGGTGGATATATAAGGACAGTTTTGAAAGACCAAGTCTACCCGTATTGTGCATATATTAAGAAAATGGCTTAAAGTCACTTAGCCCATAGGAGTCACCCTTTTGTTACTAAAAGTAACCAGATTTAACTTAGAGATACCTTTCACAACTATATATCTACACAGTGTCTAATAAAAGGTTTAATGAAAGTGAACTAACAGCACACAACATACCCTCGTTAAAATTAGAAGGATTCCTGACATGCTGAATAAGAAGACAATCCCCTACAATATCAATAAAATTTTCAGCCTCACATGGACAAGACAGATTTACCAAATCAGCTCCTCTGGAAGTGGATTCTCCAAAAGTGTCTTTAGTTTATACTATATTGTCCTCTTTATGTCTTCTTGGAGAGACATACTGTTTTTCTGTTGTTTCTTCTTCCAAACACTTTTCAATCAACTTCCATTCCTTTATTTCTCGGTGGATTGAATAGAAACTTGGTAGGGTTATACCTTGATCCAATATACCCAGATACCTTGATCCAATATATCCAGATACCTTGATCCAATATGCCCAGATACCTTGATCCAATATGCCCAGATACCTTTTTTGTTTTTTGATTTAGACTTTTTTTCAGGATTTTATTGGGTCAGCAGCCAAACAATCCAAAAATTTATATTTTGGGCTTCTGTGCAGTCATATGTACATTAATTAAGACAAAAATTGGCACAAATACAAATTTTCATGCACCCAACACATTGACATTCAAAAATGTTAGATTTGCCCATTTTTAAGGAGGATCAGAGCTCACTAAAAAAGAATCATTTTGAGGTTGTATTTTGACCAACTTACATAGGATTTGGTACAAATATATTTTTCTACAGGTTATACACATTGACAAACAAAAATATTAGACTTTCCCATTTTTAATAATTATAGTAGGGTCAAGAGACCACAAAAAGCATAATTGTATGTTGTTGTTTTTTACAATTACTCTGCCTTATTTCGGCCAAGTTACGTGGGATTTGGTATAAAGATACTTTTTTACAGTTCCCAAACAGAGATGTAGAGAATTTTTGTCTTTTGCTCAATGTTTCAGTGTCAACCAACTTACAGTGAATTTGCAGGCCCCATGCAGTGATGTAGACAGTTTTTGATTTTCTATGTTTTTCATGATTTTTTGCTGTCAAAATTGGTTATGTTGGAATTGCATGGTGGAGTCATGTTGCATTTACCAATGAATGTTGGCCTCTCTAATTATTCTTCATATTTTTGTGGTCCTTTGCAGTATACATATGAAAATAGGGTTGAAATTCTAAATAAAAGGAATGGGATTGTGAGAGGAAGGTAGTATGTCATGTTAATTGCACTTGACTTCGTCTTCTCATTTTTATGTAGCAATCACATATGTTGTAATAGAATTTTTGTGAAATATACTTTTTTCTCTTGAAAAAAAAGATTTGTGACCCTGCTCAAATTAAATGCTGTGAAATACAAGGCATTTTGGCAACAATATTTACATGTAGGTCACTTTCTTACTGATTTTAACTTTTTATTTCTGTATTTTTTTCTGGTTACATTTTGAATCAATTGGATTGAAACTCTTCAGTTAACACTGCCATATTTGATATTAAGCTTCCAGTTGCAGAAAATAACTGATTTCCCAATTGCAGCAAAGCATTCTAATGTTTTTGAACCACACATTTTAGCTTTTGTACAGTATAGGTTTTTTCCTTGTGTAAAATGATAATTTGTTCTTATTTTGCACTAACTTACTTTTCTCATTTTTAGCTGTATTGGAATATGCCAAGTCTGGATGACATTGGAACTTTACTGATCATGCCATATAATTACTTCAATAGAAATAAGAATGTTTATGATTTAAAATAGGTGTGAAAAATAAACATATCATTAGGGAAATGTGTATCATTCAAACTAGCCTAATGAATTCACATTTAATAGTGTCCAGTAGTTGATGTGCAACTATGTTTTGATAATACTTATGAAGTTAATAATTGTCTTTATTATAATTACAAAAAATATGAAGATAGAGAGAGAGAGAGAGTACATAAAAGTCATTAATATTTCACTGATGATGGTTCCCAGTTATACAAGTTTTTATAGTTATTTTTAGCTCTTGTTGGTCTGAGATTAAACTGTACTTAGTATGTGCATTTTGTAACTCCAGTTGTACTGTTCAGTTTATTTTTTTAAGTAATGTAAATATATTTTTTTCAATTTTATAAAGTATTTACATGTATAATTGTTTAATTACATGTAAGTTGAAGTTTTTTGTTATTGCACTTGAACATATGTTTCAAAATTTTTTATTAATTATAATATTTTTACATTACCTATAGGAGTGAAAGTGTCAAATGATGGTCCAGCAGTGTTTGGTTCAGTGCTCACTTTTACTGCAAAGCTGGACAATAATACAGGAATAGGTGATGAATATAGATACATATTTATGCACAATGCCAGTTGTCAAGGGAAACACAGACACACTGTAAGAGCCAACAGAAAAGCCAATCTTCCATTATTGTTCAAAGATGAAGACTGTGAGAAAGGAAGCTATGTAATGACTGTTACTGTGTATGAAGATAGACTTTATGTTTCTGATAAAAAAGTAGCCTTTGGAAGAACTAAATTTTTTTTGACAAGTAAGTACTTTTGTATCTGTTTACTTTGATGCTTTTTACAAATGTATATGAAGTACCAGAAACTTTTCAGTATATGACCTAATTTCATTAAATAAAGCACATTCAATGTTTCTACTGATAAATTAGACACTTCACTAATTTTTCTCTGTAAATAGATAAGATATGTATTTATATATTATCTTTATAATGTTCTTTTTTTGGCATGTTTATTTAAATTATTTGGTTAAAATAATGCAATGTCCAGTTCATGTAATATAACAAATTAGTTTATTTCTTCCTTTAATGTTTCAATAAGCTTAAACACTTTGGTAATGTATAGGCCACATTTGCGGCTATGCTAACTATGCTCTACTAGCATAAAAATAAACTTACTTGTACAACTTCATAGCTGGTTGACCCACTAACTGAAAACAAAACACTGACTGATTCACTGCTAGCTAAAACAAAAACCTTCTCTGACTGATCCACTTTACTGACTAGAAACTAATTTTTGATACTTCACTGAACCATGTATTCATAATCTATTTTTCAAATTTACTAGAAAATGTAATGTCCAAATTTTTATAAGACTCTTGACCTGCACTATTAAACTATTGGATCTTAATTTCATATGCCCTCTTCTTAACATTTAAATTACAACATGAAAAATATAGCTTACAACATTATTTTAATAGACTGTTAAACTGTTTTAGCTTCCCATATGCACAATAGGGGCAGTATTTCAAAGTATAATTATTGTTTAAGTAGTCAACTAATTTTAGGCTAAATGTGCATTACATTGTATATATATGTGGTTTGTATGTGTATCAAATATATTTACATATAATTGTAAAATAAATCACAAGAAGTCTTTTTTTTAAAAAAAAAGATGTAATAAAGAATGGAAATACTGCCTATTTTCCTTAGTAAAAAAGTGTTTTTTGTGTCATCACTGAAACAGGTGTGATGTGGGTTGGCCAAATGTCACCTCACTTTTTCTTGTGTCCTTATGAATCTAGATATAATTTCTTCAAACAGTTCTCCAAAATATTACATCAAAAATTTTAGTTATGTTTGTGAAAGTAGTAGACACAAGGGTATAGTGGTTGCTAGTGTGGGTGTTACATGTAGCTAAACATTTGAACAATGCTCATTATTACTATGCTGTGATAAATCAACATACAAATTGTATGGAAATCTTCAGTAACTGTATACTATACTTTATATCAAATATGGTACAACAGTATTTTGTGCTTATATATGTATTTTACAAGTAGTAAAAAGCTGAAAGAAATGGTCAGATTTATTTTCATATATCACTTTATCCAGACAGTTCAAATAATAATATTAATAATCAGCTTCAAATCACTGACTGGTAATATAATTATTAAGCATCTCTGATATTTTATGTTTTTAATTTCATGATTGCTGTTGTCAACAAGAACAATGTATTGTCAGTACAATTTAATGAATCACAATAAAAACATTTTACAATATATTATTAATAATGACTTAATCAAGCTTGATTCGTAGTAGTCTCTACACTTTAACTTAAAATTTAAAAAAAAATAATACACAACATTGTCAAACAAATGCCATTTGTACCAACCACAATCACACACTTTATTATCACTGCACTAGTGCATTTTTTGAAAACTTTCTACTGTAAATAACTTAGTTTTAAGATTAGTCTGATTTATATCTTGTTTTGTAACTTGTTATTTCCAATTAGTTAATAATTAAAGAAACAAGTCTCACTTATATAACTGAACATTTGCATTATTTATCCATTTTCTTTCAGCATTTATAAATAAATTGCCATTAATAAATTTATATGTTTTTCCATTACACAAAAATATTGACCAAAGTTTTAAGATTCTCTACATAAAAAGTCATTCAAAGAATGTACACAGAATATATATATATTGTAAGCAGTTTAAATTTTTGTTAATAAGTGTATATTTAGTACACTTAAATGTAGATCTGAAATATTTCCCATCTGGTGGCTGCCTTTCACTACTGAGTCTTACATATTTTCACAAGAAATGTAATATTACATGGGTTTTTCTGAGAATGTGATTTTTAGTCTTTGTTCTTAGTTAACATGCAGTCAGATTATTTCATCTTCAGTTGTGTTTTTTCTATTTTGATTTATTGGAAAACTCAAGTGGATGTTCAAAACATACAAAATTAACAAGTGAATTCATAATCATCATTAGTATACAGTGATAGTATACAATGAATACAATGTTGCAGTAACTCCACCACATCACAGTATATAGGTTTGTCATGGACATTGCATACCCATTAACTATAGTGAATGTAGGACACTGGAGCAGAAGTAGACATTTAAATTGACATTAAACCATTAAGAAACAAAAGATTCATACAGAAGATATGAGGCCATGGTCCTTAGATAAATAATTGTCAGACAAGTATCAAGGTCTGCATGTACAGAGTAATATATAGTGCAACATGTAGGCCATGTATTACAGATATACTAAATATAGGATTTTTGTTTTTAAATTGCCCAAGTGAGGTTCCACAAATTTGTAATTTTTTTTAAAATGGTATTTGGAAAAAAAAGTTTACGTAAATAACTTATATCTATACTAATAGATATATCTATGCTCTACTAGCATAAAAATAAACTTACTTGTACAACTTCATAGCTGGTTGACCCACTAACTGAAAACAAAACACTGACTGATTCACTGCTAGCTAAAACAAAAACCTACTTATTTATACATGAAAGTAAAGCATCATACTGAATTTTTTTCCTGCACTAATTTTTTTAGCTAAAATAAAATGTAGAAAAGTAAATTGTACAATAATTTGTTCCCAGTATTGACTCCATTGCATAGAAATTGTGCCATAGACACTGAATATCTTATATTTGGGCTGAACTTACAAAACTGCATAAAGTTTGGAACTTTTCTTAATATTTAAAAGTCAAGAACTTTTTACTTGAAAATTATCAGCAAAATTGGAATAGTTATTTGACAGTTTACATATCCAAATATAACTAGGTTAAGCCTTATCTTTATTAATATTGTGCATAAAGTTATAGTTTGTGTATGGACTTATTTACATGTTTTCTATCTTTTAGGTTAAGTTTTTAACAAGTACAATAGTATGTTTGTCCCTAGCAGTTTTTTCTATTTTCAATATTGAAGAGCATTTTACACATAAAGATACTGGTTCTTCTAGTCTGAGGAGCTTGTGTGTAATATTTTAGGTTAAAGACAGTTTTTCCTTTACCTGACATACTCCTGCAAATATGTATTTGTGTGTGTGTGTATATACATACATACATATATATTAAAACTTTCTAATTTTTTTATTGATATTTGTACGTAAAGTGTTTGCTTCAAGAGAATTTTTTTTGTCAGTCATATTGGGTTACATAAACAGTGTTATTTTAATGCACCTGTGAATCTTTCCTCTTCAAGCTTGAAGAAACATGTTTTAAGGTCAAGTCTTTAAAACATCTCTCTCTTAAACTTATCAGAAAAAGTGTATGAAAGCTTATAAACAGAGAAGTACATTGACTGAAGTCACCCTAGTTGATCACAGTCAAATTATGTTTTTTGTATTTCATTTTAAAGTGGCAAAAGTGCAGGAGAAAACAAAGTTTATTACTCCACAAATATTGAGGTAGACACACACAATTACACATTATGTAAATAATAACAGGTTAAAAAAATTTAATATTGTAGAGTGTATTTATTTATCTTTTAATAAAGCATACTAAACATGTTATATGTTTTTCTGTTGTTATTTTTTTATGATCTACATGGTTCTAATTGTACAATGTGTAGTAGGAAAAGGTGGTCAGTAAAACTTAATTTTATAGCAGCATTCTTCAGAATGAACCAAATCATACCAGTGATTTTCAACACCAAAGAAGCATAGCAGGAATGCTAGTAGTTCGTGTTTTTTTTTTTTACTAGAAACTTAAGTTGGGCAAGTTAAACTAATTTTTATAAAGATATCTCAGTTAGATAGCTATGTTTCATTATATATGCTATCCTCAAAGGAGATAATTATATAAACAGTCTTTGTACATATTTAAAGTACTGTACAAGGAGTGTAATTTATTATTTCTTTTCAAAGTGTCATCCAAGTAAAGTCATCAAAATGTTATAGGTGTCAAAAACCTTTCCTGCATAAAAATTGTGTCCATTTATTGCTAAGTTATTGTTTTTTTCTCACTCATGATCATTCAAAACAAACACCTTACATTATCATGACCAACTTCATATTTGTCACAACCACTACCACTTTTGGCATATCCATTGCCACTATTTTCTTCTGTTTTACGTTTGTTTTAAAGCTTACCTTCATCAGGCAACTACTGCCATATGACTGAAACCTAGAGCTTAGTAGGCTAGCCATTTTGTAGGTAGATTTGGATGTGAGTGCCTACGAGCATAATTATCAAATTGAGGCCACATATAGATGTACTGTGATTTATCTAAGATCTAGAGTTAAACCTTGTACTTGGATTGCATAAATCTATAGAACCATACACTACCAGGAAGTCAAGCTTCTGCTTTAGCAATGATATTGAACATAAACCTTGAATCTGTAACTTTCAAGTCTCGACCAACATTGCTAAAACCTACATCTGGACCTTCTGAGTGGCATATTAGGACATCTGTGCTGTTTCATTGTTACTAATGTTAGTCTAGGTCTAGGCACTTTTACAAACAAGTAAGATAACTATTTTGATCTAAATATTCCCTTAAATTGCATTAACTTTCTGTTGTATATGTCAAGTGCAGGTTAAAATCTTGGTTAGACAACAGTTTGTATGACAACTTAGTAGAAATCAGACAGTATAAGCAAAAGAAACTCCACATTTGCAGTTGTTTTGGGGTGCAAAACCTTAAATTTATAGTGTAAAAATACAAGACCTTGGTTTACATTCAGATTATACTCCCATTCATACCAGCTGGAAATGACATACATTTCTCAAGTCAGTTGGACACATTCTTTTAAATTGTTATATGCCTGAT